TGACCATAGATGCAAACAATATAGAATGTTTTATTCCTAATTAAAAGTTATCTGAGTAATTAAAAACAAAATGTTAAACTTAGTTCCCGACAAATATTTGTCATATTTTTTTGACAGAAAATCAAAACACCTACCACACTTCTCCGTAAATATTGTAAATATAGAAAGATAACATTAAAACAGACTTTTTCTTTTTCGTAATCCACTGAACCAGTTTATCACTGAATTGGTCAGGGCATTTACCTCAATTTTAAAGTCTATAACTTGAGGCAGAATTCATTATATATATATATATATGAATAATTCAAAATATTTTTGTATCTGTATGAAAATGAATCAAGACTCCAAACAAGTTCAATCAGATGTAGATACCACCACCACCGATAGACAAAAAGAATTACACAGCTTAATGTGTAATCAGAATAAGGCTGTCAATATGAGCAACTTTAGACTGGCCATTTGTTTACATGTGAAATAATGACATTTATCCAAAATGTCCAGGGATACAAGGAATCAATGTTTTTCTTAAACAAATCCCACTAAATACTGATAACATATTATATCTACAAAAGCACCTACTATGGCATGATGGTTAACAAGTTTCTCTAACAAACCTATTATCTATACTACTATGGCTTTGTACCAGACTAATCTGTGCTTAATAACTATATCTGCAGTGTCTCTAAACAAGAAAATTACCCCTGACCAGAATTAACCTAAAATACTTAATGTTAACTACAGTGGTATCTTAAGCGGGATAATGCCAGATAACTGTGCTGCTCATTATACACTTTAAAACTTTTGGCAGTTTTATTTAATATGAAGAATTCTATTTGATAATTTTTGCAATGAAGAATCTTTGCAATCATTGATTTACTTGTACAGATGACCTCATTTTGGTTCTTATAGTCAAAAGCATCTGAACTTTTTGAAATGAGTAACTGGTATAGAGAGAGAGAGAGAGAGAGAGAGAGAGAAAGAGAATTGATTTTATTTTTAATCCATATACTTATTATTTGAAACATTGTTTTTAATAGATGCCCGTATTTAAGTAGATGTATCTGTTTATTTGAAACAGGGTCAGAAATTGCTTTGTTTAGATTTTGAATATGAGACTATATATGCCTTTTGAAAAAATTTGAATGAGTGAGTATGCTTTAAAGGCAAATAGAAACTGGCTTGATTGGGAAGTGGTAAAAGGATGCCAGATAAGATGGTGGTTCCTCTCGAAAAGAGGGAAGCAGGTTCAAATCATGCTGAGGGCGGCCCTTCTTATATATATATATATATATATATATAAATAAAAAAGTGTGAATTGGATGGTCCTGAACAGACTGGGTTCTATAGCCTTGGACGAAACCTTCAAAACCACTATAATCAAATTTCATGTGCTGTTGTCAGGCTGTCGGTTTCCTGGTTTTGGGAGAGTCGAGTATATATATAACTGCATACAGTTATTAAATCATTAAATTTGTGTACACAATTATTAAATTACATGACCTGCCAACAAAGAAAGTAAAAAGCATTAACACTAGAAAAATTAAATAAATGACTTAACCACAATACCTTGTCAGTCACCTTTAATGAAACTTGTAGAAATATATATATATTATGATGACTTTGAATAAAAGCTGCCTAAACACTTTTGTTTAATTAACATTTACTTGATACTTACCTGGAAAAGATCTTCTGACTCTTTGTCAAAATCTTACTGAATTCAGAAAACTCCAATTTTTACCTTACATTTGCAGACTAGATATATCTATATTCTTCTATTGTTAGACTATATACTCTCTTTTAAGCCAAAACTTTGAATTAAGACATTTTCTGCTTTTTTTTTTTCAAAAGGATATTTTACCATGACCTTTGCAAATATAACTGATGAGTTTTAAATTTTAAAAATGAGTTATTTACTCTTTTTAGGAAATTATGACTTATTTATTTTTCTTCATCTTCTTCTGCTTAAATTTATTTCATCGTTTTCCCAATATTTAAGTCTTTGATGCATGAAGGTTAAAATGCTTTTCGTGTATTTTGCATAAATATTATTAAGCACCTAAATGCTGAGATGATAATGTGCAGCCATTTTGTTTTTTAAATTTATGTGAGCCAATGATGTGTTTGATTTTGGGGTTTGTATGTATTCATTTATCTTCTGACAAAATCCTATTTTTGCATATAACTCCCTTTTTACTTCTCTTTTTTAAATCTCTATTTGTCATTGTATAAATTCTTTTTGTCTTTGTATAAAACTGTTTTTCTTCTTTTTTTTTACTTTGTATAAATCTCTATTTATCTTAATATAAACCCCTTTTTTTCATTTTGCATAAATCCATTTTTGTCTTTTTATGAATCTTTTTTGTATTTGTTGAATCTCTTTTTTGTCTGCATAATTTTTTATTTTTAATTTGATTCGTAGTTTTGTATTCTTGTTTCCAATCAATAAATTATTTAATAACCTATTGAGTCATTAAATGTTAAAAATAGTTTTTAAAGAGACTGTCTTTTTTTAAATAAGAAAACATACTTTATTTCCAATATTCCATTCATTAATCTTTAAAATGGCCATTTCTTGTTTTCAAGAAATCCAAATAAAGAAAAAGCATTATTATTCATAACTTTATTTATCCTTTCATATTTAAAAAGATAAGTTTTTGTTTTTTTTGACTCATACACCAATGAGTTTTTAAAAGTCCATCATAAGACATTGAAATAATTGAGACGTAACCTTTTAAAAATTATAATTAAATTAACTGGGAAAATATAGAAAAGTATATATTATATGTAAACGTTTTTATTACAATGAATGACTAATGCATTCAGTGTGTTGTTTTATATAAAAAATAACTCTTTTGTTTAAATTCCTAGATGTTTCACCTATCTATTTCTTGGGACATTCATTACAGTCTATAGAATAAATTCCTGCTTCAATTTTAAGGTTGATTTTATTTTGTTTTCTATTAATTAAATCTCTTATTGCTTTTGTATTAGTTGTCAATTTACATTATAGATTGTCATAATAAATGTCACAAGAAATATGTAAGTGAAACATCTAGGAATTTAAATAACAGAATATATGAACACAAAAGGATATTTTGCAAAACAATGAACTCAATGCATTAGTTATTTATCAAAATAAATTTGACAATGATTTTGGCAGAAAGAATGCAGAATTTAATCAATTCAATCAATTCTTCATTGTACATAATATTTTTACAACAGTTAGATAACATGAAACCAGTATTTTTAGAGTTTTACAAACTTTGCAAGATGTTTTTAAAAAATGTCCAAATCTGAGGTTTTTATCTTTTAAGGTATTTCAGAAATACAACATGACTTTTGTTGTTCTTTCACATTTCAAAGTAAACAATCAGGAATTGTACCATTTTCTAAGAGTATACTGACAGGAATCTTAGTCCAAAAATTAAAATCTAAAACTTTTTGCTAAAGTTAGAAACAAATTATATATACGGAGTTATTCCAAAAGAATGAACCGATTTCATTATGCAATATTTTAATAAAGAAAAGCAATAGAAAACTCCAACCAAGTCACAAGTCTTTTACTCACAATCAACTTTTATTTCCTAAGTGTTCAGTGTGGCCACCACCTGCAGCACAGGCAACATCAATATGATAAGAGAATTCCTCCCAGATGCGTATCAGCATATCATGATCCACTGAGTCGATCACTGTTGTTGTCCAATATTTTTAATCCACTTCTGGCTTACTAAGCTCAAAGAAGCTTTACCATAAAGCCATCAATCATAGATTTCAGAAATTTATTTATACTGGTATCATCTTGGTGACCTGAGCTGATGGAAGGAGGTCAAAGTTGATATTCGGCCATCTTAAGGAACTCCACTCTTGGTTTGGTTTCACAATTGCCCTTCTAAGGATATGGTTATACAACCAAAGCGAAAGTGGTCAGTCTACCCCGCTATTTTGCTCATAGCTGGTGAGTGAGAGAAAAGATGGTTTCAATCTTATACCAAGGGAATTAGTGCAGTGTGAATGCAATCTCAGCTGGAATTTGAACTTGGCTTGCCATCTTCATGTTACTATACATCAGGCCACATACACATATTTGTGATGACTAAAATTTCGATATTAGATTTATGAAAAATTTGCATTTTTAATTTATCTATTATATAGTTTCAGATTATAAAAAAAATTTAAATCTCATCAGAATTTATTCAAATGCTTTATTTTTATTTTTTTTTCTCAAAATGGAAGAAGCTGTCAAATAGCAAAAGTTTATTTCTTTTTTGTCACAATTTTTTGTTACTTTTCCTCACAACGTTTTAGCCAATTTATTCTTCTTTAGCTGTTAGATCTTGGAATTCAGAACAAATAAGCCATTTTAGACACTTCTCTTAATTTTTGAAGCTTGCCATGTGACAACACCTTATGATAAAAATCAGTGAGAAGGTGAAAAAACTACTTGGAACATTTATTATTCATTTTTGACTTGTAAGTTCTCGTAACCAACCAGACCTTTAACATAATTAATATGAATTAAAAAATAAAGTAACCTTCAATGAGACTTCTACTCAGATTCTTTAAAAAGGGAGGTAATCATTTCAGCTCCATCATGATATCAGCTCATCACACTGCTCATTTGCACGGCATTGTTTGTTTACTACTAGTAGTAAAAAACATAGTAGCAATCTTGTATTATCTGAATTCTTAGACAAACTATTTTCATTGTTAATTTGTGACTAGTTTTCTTGTTGTTGTTGCTTTTAGTCACAACATTCAAAGTGGAATACCCTTTAATTGTTCACATTTTGCACTTGTTGAGAGCTACATTTTATTCTTAATTCATGTTGAATACTTTGACCATGATGGTCAAAAGTATTTAACCTAAGACATTATGATAAAAAACATCAATCTGATGGAGAAAAAACAAGCTAGAAATTAATCATAAAAAATTCCTTTCCATCATTGTCAAAAATTTTCTGTGTTGTAATTCAAAATGTGCTGCATGGTTGATTTTCCAGAATGGGATCTATGTATTCATGAGAAAAACAAAAGCACTCAAGGTAAATTATTTAAAAATGTACATGAAAATAACTGAAATTGCATGGTTTGGCTATTTTTTTCTTTTGAATTTTCTCTTAACTTTTCTACTTTCAAAATGAACTTATATATATATATATATATATAGCACAGTATTTTCCCTGCAAGACGTAACAACTCTTGAAAAGAAGGGAAGGTATTATTTATAGCAAATACCAAAGAGGGGGGAGGGAGGGAGAGTAATGTTACAATTCTCAGGTTTTAAAACATGACAGTTGTTTACATAATTAAATTTTCAAACACATGAAATAATCTACCGTTGCTTTGTAATAACCAATCAGAAGATGCTTAAAATTAAATCAGTTTCATTATCTCACCAATATATGTATCTGTACATTTAAATTTAAAACATATTTAATTGAAATAACGCTCCAGTTAAGTAACTGCTTATATTGTGTCTGCATGTGTATATATATATATATATATATATATATATATATATATATATATATATTAATAACACAGAAGAAAGCAAACAATTCCCAAAGGAGCACACTTAAAATGACAGCCCAGAAAAAAGAGGCCTCAATATTGCCATGGCAGAGCATATTATATTCATCCCAATCTTCAGTTGCAGGTCTGACCAACTATAACTGTCACTTTTAGTGTTTAGCATTGTATGTTCAGTGGAGCTGGGTTTCGTATTCCTGCCTCAGCTAAACCCAAGGTCTTTTAATAAGGATAGCTGATGAATACGTACAATCTACTTACCAGTTACAATCACTAAGAAGGGAATGCCCGTATGGCCAAGAAAGGAAAAGGTGTAATATTGCTGTCATTTAGGGGAAAACAAAACCCAAAACACCAGAATAGACATTTATAACCACCAAAATAGACTACCCACAATGCACCACTGACCCATATATATAAATAGCCAAGAAAAATAACAGCACTCGTGGCCTGGCGATTGAGTCTAGCATGAAACAGACTGTCGCCTCTAAGTGTTGACTTCTATGTTCACTTTTATATATATATATATATATATATATATATATATATATATAAAGACAAAGGGAAAACATCTTAACTGATGCATTTCATCCTTTGACAGACTTTATCAAGACAAATGTGAGAATTTTATTTTGCAACAAGTATTTATAAACAAAAGTAGAAATGTTAGTTTTACAACATTTTTGAATTTATATAGATATATATATATATATATATATATATATATATATATATATAAATTTTTGTTGTAAAATAAAATCTTTATATTACCCTTGATAAAGTCTGTCAGAAGATGAAACACATCAGTTAATATAAGTTTTCTTTTATCTTTATTCCTATTGTCTTTTTATAAATATATTGTAGTTATGTCTAAAAGATTTTATGCACACACACACACACACATATATATATATGAGAGAGATGTGTGTATTATACTACTTATACAGAGTGATAGAAAACTATGGAGATTAAATCAGATTTGATCTGTTTCAGATCTTATCAGAGATCAGTTCTGAAGTGAAGGAAGAAAATTGCAACATCTTTCAGTTCTGGAATGCATTAACCAAGATTAGCAATTTTGTAATTCAAATGGGTATGGCATACAACTTACAACATATAGCAGAATGCCATAAGTGCAGGTGAAGACAACTAAAAATAAAAACTTAATTGTTGCCCTTTTGTTCATGAAGCTGTGTTTCAATCAGTATTCCTGAAACCCTCGGTGAAGTTTTGGTATATTGCATAACGTCTAATTTAAAAGTATTAATCTTATCTTTCATCCGTTTCATTTTGTATAACTTGGTATTGTAACTTTCACTCCCCATTATTTTGATTACTAAGTGACCCCTGAATGTGTCAATGAGTACATGCTTAAAACAACAAAGATGAAGATATTATTTTTGTCTGAATTTCTGGTATGAAGAGTTATCATTATCTATACTATTTACATGCAAACTATTGTCCTCATCTTTATTGTTGTTATTACAACATTTCAGCCGTTTTGCCCTCTGGTCTTCATCAGATGTATGTCAATCTGAGTAACCTACAGGGAACACTGAACTGAACCCTTCATTTAATCTACAGGGGTAGACTTTTCTCATTCCACTGCCCATGTATAGCATATCTTATCTAGTTCTTATTTTTTTTTTACTGTTCAGTTATTGCTTGCCTTGTTTCTCCTGAGTGCAAGTGCATACTGACCAGCTCAGTGATTGAACTCATAATTAATGTTACAAAATTCATGAACCCACACTTTAATATATGATGAACAATTCTCTATGGAGAGCTTGGAGCCTTAAACCTAACCTACCTGCTGATGAGTGCTGCTGCTGCTTGTCACACTTGACTGCACTCACTGAAACTTTCTTTTTTTGTGACAGCTGCTGCTGTGATGCTTTTGAAGACTTGCTGTCATTTGCTTTATTAACAGCTCCCACATCATATTTATTTCTATTCTAGGCCTACTAAGGAGGTCCTCACAGTCTAGCATATACGTGCTGGTTCTTTCAGATGGCTAACTCTGCAGTGTTCTTCCCTGTCATGTATTTTAACTCCTTTCAACAGGGGCTGATGGTTACCCTTTTCTCTCCATACATGATCAGCTATGCCGGATTTTATTGTCTCACAACTCACTCTGGTGACAGGTGAAAAATTAAATATTTTCATTCCTTTAAGACTAATATCTTCATCTTTGTTGTTTTTAGCATGTACTGGTTGACACAGTCAGGGGTCACTTAGTAAACAAAATAATGAACACTGAAAGACACAATGCCAAGTTATAAAAACGATAGGATACTTTCAAATACTTGAGATGTTACACAATATACCAAAACCTCCATAGAGTTGAGCAAGGATACTAATTAAAACATAGCTACAAGAACATGTCATGTTCAATTTCATTCTGGCAACTCCTGTGACAGCACCAATGCCAAGCTGTATTGGCTTCTGCCTTTCCCTTGGACAACATCAGTGGCATGGAGATGAAAGATATACAACATGAGCAACTGCCTGCACCCTGAAGAGGGCATAACTCTTCAAGCATAGATCCATAATAACAAGAACAAAAAGGAAACAATTAAGTTTTTCTTTGCAGCAAAACCTCTTAATCAGAATTTGTGTTATTTTTAATATCAGTTTTGCCAAACTATAGATGCATGAGGTCTTTAATAAAACCTAATAAAATATATTTATTGCTATAGCTTCTATTGTGTGTGAACATATAAGAAGTGTGGAAATTAATGTCAACATCGACTGGCGACAGTCTGTTTCCTGCTTTTCTTCTATAGATCTAGCATACCTTAAAACTCTATTCTGTCATACATATATATATATATATACCCAAGTATAGGATTGGTATATACAGAATAAATTCCAATAACCAAAAAATTTTATTCTTAAAAGAGTGCTCGATACAGAGTAGAGCAAATATAATTTATCTGAAAATTATAACATAAATATGTTATAAAATCACTACAAAAATAACCATTTTGTTTCAACACTTCTGGTGTTTTATCAATGGTATTGAATGTGGAATAAAGAGTTTTAAAAGGTTCAAATAAACCAAACACCCCTCAATAGGGAAAATATTATTAAGGGGTGTTTGGTTGATTTGAACCTTTTAAAGCTCTTTATTCTACATTCAACACCATCACTTGATAGGATACCAGAAGTGTTGAAACAAAATAGCTATTTTGTAGTGATTTTATAACATATTTCTGTTATAATTTTCAAATAAATTATATCAGAGTTTCTAACCTGAATGTTGCATGATTTACAAGGAAATTTCTTTGTTTTTAGCTTCTCTTTTTTGTTGTAACTTATACTAACCTTCTTGACTTTCAACTATAACTTTCCATGAATCAGCCTCTCAAAGATAAAACCAGCTCATTGGGTATAGTGTAATATTTGGATAATTTTTCATAATATGTGGAAAGTGGCACACACTGAAAAGTTTAACCTAGAAAGGAATATTTAATCTTAAAAAGTTGATTTATCACTACCAAATAGCATATTTTTAAAGGGAAGAAAATTCATTAGTGATTTTTTTTTTATAATTGTTGAATTACCAAACATGGATGTCCTTAGTGGCACCTGGCATCAGTACAATTATTTAACAAAACATTTCAAATAAAAAAACAATAATGGCTAGAGAGAAATCAGAAGAACATAAATGAAGGTTTTATTTTCTAGCTAAAGTACATGCTAATAAAGTGTAAAAATGTGTTACATGCCTTCTCTCTGACCCTGAAAAGGAAAGCTAGTGGATGTTATCAAAGTTAGTCTTTACTCCAACATATCTTGTTGCAAGAGGCTATGCATTTACCTATATATCAGGAAAGTATTTTTCTTTACACAGGGTCTACCCACAAACTATTCTCTGTACAAACTGGGCTTCACTGGCAATTAAGGGTCACGTGACCAGTGAGGAAGGAAAGTTAAGCCAATTTAATTTTCTTTTATTTCTAAGTTGAATTTGTATTGTCGATATTAATTCCCTTAAAGAACTATGCTTCATTATGCTGACAGTGGTAAATACAGGAGATTATACAAGTGATAACATTCCAAAGATACAATGCTTATAGTCACAAAGAGGTCTTTATGCTATTCCAGCCTCTGGTTATTGAAAGCCTCAACTCAAAAATTGACTTTAGAACTAATCAATATTCTGTTCAAATTTCTGGAATGAGGAGTTACTCTTTTTAGTCAAACTAATGTCTTCATCTTTGTTTTTATTATCACAACATTTCAGCCATTAAACCCATTGGTCTTCTTCAGGTGGCAGATTTTGGAGTAGTCATTTCAAGTGGTTACTCATTTTTCAAACTGCTTTGGCAGACTAAAAATAACAATCAATATTCATTTCTCTTATAAAAAAATAATTAATCTGAAATTGGTTTCTTCTATGAAGATATTCAGTTCATGAACTCAAATACAAAATACATTGTTTTGTTTCTTTTATTTCTTTATACCTTCCTCTTCCCAACTCATCGAACAACTTAAGGTGCTTTAATAA